GTTAATGAAGTGAGGGTATCACTGCTGGGAGGGAAAGACAGAAGTTTGGGGGTACTTGGCACTTTTCAGCTCTGCTTCTTGTACATGCAATTAGGCAGAAACAAATAGAAGCAGCACACAGAGGCATCTTTATTTTCCCGGGGGGAGCCTCTGCTTTACTGAGGTGACCTGGGGTGGGAGGAGTGATTTAACAAGGCTGTTGTCTTCCAGAGGACCATCATTCCCAGGTTTTTTTTTTTTTTTTTTTTTTTTTTCCGGTACTGGGAATCGAACTCACGACCTTACACTTGTCAGGCAGGAGCTGTGCTGCTGAGCTAAATCCCCAGCCCCTGCCAGGGGTTTTTTAACTGAAGTGTCACACAGGTCTGGGGAAGACTTACCATGCTGTTATCAAAGGTGGGAAAAAGGATAAGATGACCTCACTTCTCAGTCTTAATCATCATTCTAAGATCTACTTTTTAAAATAAGCCTTTGGCATTTCACATGTTTTCTTTATAGTGCATTGGAATATAGGAAGTAGTACTAAATAAGTCTTTGTCAATAATTCCTAGACTATGTTAAGAAGAGGCATAAACAATTCCCTAACAGAAAGAATTCTGGCATGGGATACGTTTCCAATAACATCAAATGTGCTTCCCTTGTTTCAGCTGAAAGAACCTAAAATTCTACTATAATACTCAATATACTTATATTCATCAGTTAATTGGACAATTTTTTATTACATATCCATTATTTGTCAATGGCTCAGAGATGCTGAGGGTACAAAACTGACTAAGACGTAGCCTCTCTTCAGAGGGGAAAATCTGAGTGAGGGAGATTTATTACATACCATCAGAATATAAACAAGGTAGCAACTTTAAAACTAGATTCCAATGATCACACGCAATGACAGAGTCTTTGAGTGTTGTGAAGGAGAATATTTTTTATTATAAAAGTAATGGAGCTATTATATATATATATATATATTTTTTTTTTTTTTTTTTTTTTTTTTTTTTTTGAGAAAGGGTCTATGTCATTCATCTGGCCTTGGAATATGTAGCCCAGGTTGGCCTCAAACTCACAGCAAAATCTTCCTGCTCTGGCCTCCCCAGTGCTAGGATTATAGGCATGCACCACCACACCTGGTTTTACAACTTTAAAAATATAAACTAGAAGCTGGGTGTGGTGGATGCCTGTAATCCCAGCACTCAGGAGGCTGAGGCAGGAGGACCGCTGCGACTTTGAGAACAGCCTGGGCTACAAAGTGAGCTCAAGGCCAGCCTGAACTGCATAAAGAGACCCTGTCTCAAAAAAAGACAAAAAAAAAAAAAACTAGAAAAAATAAAATGCAGCTACTCTAGCATAACTGCTATGTATTATTCTATTACAATTTATTTTCTGATTAATAATTTTCCACAGCTATAATCCTATGAAATACATAAACAAAATTAGGTCCTTCTGCCTCCTTTTTATTTCACATTACCCTAATTCCACCTCACTGGCTGGTTTCTCTACCAGTAACTGAAAAGAGTTGCAGGATTGGCATGCTGGTCGCGCCTTCTATCTACAGACTCAAGATTCCCAAGGCTGGTGAGGTTAGTTTGCAGAGCCTTTGCCTTGTTTTTTGGTCACCATGGTTTATCTGGTTGCTGCATGGGCTTGGTGACCCCGCATGGTGACACTTTAAGGGGAAGAATTTTCCCTACAGCAGGCTACTTGGTGCCTCCGAGAAAGGTATCTGGCACACAGTGACAGACAGACCTCCTGGGTCAGCTATTGGTGCCAGTTCCCCAACTCCCACCCACCAGTGTCTCCTCCCTCAGCAGGTGAGAGGAGTCTCAGGTGAGACAAATCAGCAAAGGGCTCCCTTTGGAGTTTTGCTGGTGGGACTTCTGATATACTTCTGATGGAGTCTGAGTCTCCTGGAGTTATCAGCAAGACTAAGTTCGTCTGGTTAGGAATAAGCCACACTGGCTGGCCTCATGGCTAGACTGAGGTCAGGAAACATCAAGCCTGGGTCACTTCCTGTTAGTAGAGGAATCAAAAGATGAATAACAACTGTGTTCTTCATTCAGCCTTGGGGTCTCTAGCCAGTTGTGTTTCTACTCCCTAGCAGTTTTTCTGATACCTCTTATAGTATTGTATAATTATACTTATCCAGTGTTTATAATTGCACTTCAGGAAGAGTAGAGAGAAGTAAGTCTGTGCTTTCTTGTCAAAACGGTCAAAATATAGTATTTTTCATTTTTTTCTACCTGTACAACTGACCAGAAAGCCAAGAGCTCAAGTCTATCCTACAAGAACTGTTTCTAAAATCCTGTTCCAGACCTGTGTAAATTCAGCCTTTCTGCCTGAGGATGCAAATGGCAGCAATAGACAAATTACACACTTCTCAGGAGTGATATTAAGTCACCATGTAAACTCCAGTGTGACGCCTTCTATGTAGCACTGACATCAATTCCAGTACAATCACTCCATCCATTCGTTCAACAAATATTTATCCAGTGATACAATGTGCCTGCTACTATTTTAGTCCCTGCACAAGTAGTGGGGAAAAAGGTGTTTAAAAATGCAGAAGTTTATATTCTCTAAAGCAAAATATTTTTCATTTCAAACCAACTCAAATCATACCAACTCTGCAGCTGACTGTCCATGCATTCATAAGATCAGCTCCCAAATATCAAACTCAACTGACATCTACTACACAAGTAGCCTCACATTCTTACAGCTGTTTTCACTTGTTTTTTCACGTGGGAAGTTTAATTATATTCGGGCATCTAACTGAACTTTTGTTTTAAACAAAAATGGCATTCACACTAGATTAAATTTACAAGGCTGAGATCTATTCACACAAGCTGCAAATGAAAGAGAATGGGATAGAAGTGAAGATCTTGGGTTGTGTGTTTTGGGTCTGGGAGACAAAATATTGAAGTCAAGAGTGGAACTGATTTCAGAGTAGAGGGCATTTAATTTTTGAACATGCTAAATTTGATGTGACAGCAAGCTAGCCACGTTGGAAATGTCCTAGGAGGAAGATCAGGAGTCGGTAAAAGAGTAAGGATGGAGGAGGGGTGGTCCTCCCTGGGGAAAATGGCGTGGACAGTACAGGACAGGCACCAGGGCTGAATCTTCAGCAGCTGTAGGGTTCAGCTCACAGGCGTCACCCTCCTTCTCTGCTCGCCCTTTTCCAGGTGATCTCATCTGATTATAGAGCCACCTTGACTAAACAACCATGTGTACTTCTAATTTCCATCCGCCTTGATATGAATAGACACAAAAATGCAGACCAAATACAGAGCAAATACTTGAAGTAAACAATGAAACCATGCTATGTACAAGCAAAGCAATGAGAATGTCCTATGGCTGTGAAGAGTAGAAGTCTATGGGAAAAGTAACTTCTTAACGTATACCTGTTGTAGTTCTAGTTTCTTATTTATAGAACAAACACAATTTTTAAAGTTTTAGGAATCAACCATGTTATACTTGAGGGAACATGGTACTTAGGTATGGTTGCAAGTAACTCAAAACTTAGGGTAAACATAAAATGAATTTATTTGAGAATATAAGAAGAAACCAAAATGTTCTTTGCTCATGCTTTTATTTCTTGAATATATTTATTTATTTATTGTTTTTTTTCTGGTACTGGGAATTGAACTCATGACCTTGAGCTTGCCAGGCAGGGGCTGTGCCGCTGAGCTAAATTCCCAGCCCCTTCTCGAATATATTTAAAAAGAAACAAACTCACACACTCAGACATAAGTGGTAACGTAGTGTAGGTCAAGGTTATGTGAGATTTTGCAGAGGGTATGTATCTTAAATGTTCCTATAAGTCTTTAAAAGGGAAACAGAGAAGCTAAGAAAAAGGTTTTTTTGTTTAAATGGAAGCTTTAACATTTTAGTATCAGAGACGGTATGACAAGGAGGAAAACGGTGCAAACAGGTTGAGTGGTATAATCTGAGGTTGGAGAACATAGGCAAAATTCTCACTTTCACGCAATATGCAGAGGGATGCTCTCCAGCGAATGCCGTGTGTAACTAGGGATCTTGAAGGGTATGGTGAATGAAGACAGAAGAGGACCAGAAAAGGTACCTGGTCAACAAATCATAAAATGGTTGTAGGCGTACCCTTGGGCAGTACAGGTTGAGAAAATGAAACAGAACAGAGAAGTCCAAAGGGCACATGTTACATCATATAATCTTGAGTTGAATCACAGGCTTTGAGAAAGCTGCAGGACAGTATGGCACTCATCCAGTTTCAAAGTCCAAAGCCAGTAGTAAGACAGTATAGTGACTGGTGGCCTAAAGCAGTTCTAAGCTGAAGACCCCATTACACCCTGGGGAAGGGGTAGTCCTGGGTTTTAAACTAAGGGCTACGGGCATGCAAAGCACACTCTGCCACTGAACTACACGCCCAGCCCAAATTAAGCTTATGTTTAATAACAAGATTAATCCAAAAGCATACTTCAACCACTTTGTCATCATGACGTCCTTATTGTGCTGACTTGAGAACCTCTTGATTCTAAATTATAAAGTTATCAAAACACCACGAGTAACCAGAATGACGTTAGTTTGGATAGAGGTATAGTAACTGGCCTGCAGAATGCATACTGTAGTAAATGCTTGATGAAGGATAAAACGCAGTTACTGCTTTATTCTATCAAGTTAGTTTACCCCATGAAAAAGTGGGGTCATTTTGAAGAACAGTTTACTCTCAAATTTTAACAAACGCTGGGTAGATCCTTATTGTTTATAATTTCAACTACTGGCCCTGTCTCTTTAAAAGGCTCGGGCTACTGAGTAACAGCAAGGTGGCTGGCGGTCAGAAGTATTCTCTCACTTTCAACGCACACGCCACTGCCTGATGTGCAGGTCTGATTTAATAACCAGGACTCGTGGTCCCATGGTCCCCTCTGCCACTTGGCTTTACAGCCTGCCACCAGCGCCTAGTCAGCGCCTGACTAGGCGCTGACTCCCATGATGGCTTCCCATTCCTCTTCAAAATCACTTCCCAATACAACTCATTTTGTTTACATTACTTTAATAATTTTCATTAATTGATGTGCGGTCCTTAAAACATACTAAACTTATGAGACAAGGTAACAACTACCTTAGGATAGTCTAATGACCTCTTTAAAAGAACAAGGGTGATGCAAAAAAGGGAGAATGAAAAAAATCAACTTACTGTTAAGCATGGCAAAGATTTAATTACATATAGTGCTCTTGAAAAGCAGAGGGTATATTTTCCAACATGTTGAATAATGGTTAAGTTCAAATATCAGAAAACAGAATTTCCGGGGCAAATTTTATGTACATTCATTGCCACGTAGTATTCAGTAAAATGACATTTTACAAATGATGTATTTATATATACATCTGGTTATTAAACAACACTGGTAAATATACTTTCATCAAGGTATGCATTATGCTTGCATAATATAGATTTTCAGGTTAGGAATCAGCACCTGTCTGTGGAGGAATACATCAATAAGTTAAAAACTACACAAAACCAGACTTTCAGTTTGAAAGCAGATGTCTACATAGACCTTTCAAGTATTTATAGTTGGTATACTAGAGCTGAATACTTATTTTATATGATGCTGTTCCATAGGGCATCAGACACTATACTTACAGCATAATTATTATCAGTTAATTAAACTATAAATCACTTTACTGACAAACTTTCAGCAGTGAAGAGAACCTACATGGAAGTGCGCCAAATGCCTTCAGGTTGAATAAAATTTATGAAGCCTGTAATAAGGTTTATCCTTGAACATAAACAAAATGCAGATAATGATTGCTGATGCATCTATATTGGCCTCTGGCTCTCCTATGAGTTTACCTATGAATTCAAAAGCTTATAGTACAATATGATTGCCTTTGTAAACTTTTCCAATTCTACTATTTTTAAGTGTACAGTTCAGCGGCATTAAGTACACCCCAGTTACTCAACCACCACCACCATCCATCTCCACAACGTTTCCGTCACTCTGAATAGAAACTCTGTACCCATTAACACCAACTCCCTGTTCTCCCCGCTCTGACCTCTGGCAAACATCGTCCTACATACACTCTCCACAAACTGAGTCTCCTAGGTACCGTGTGCATATATGGAATCACACATCTAATATTTGTGCTTTTATTCATTTAGCACAATGTACCAATGCATACAGGTCATGCCCTGTGTTATAATCTCACTCCTTTTTAACGCTAAATACTATTCCATTATATTATTTATCCTCTCACCTACTGAAGGGATGGACATTGGGTTACTTCTACCTTTTGGCTATTGTGAATGATGCTGTTACAAACACTCATGCACACATACCTGCTGCAGTCCTTGCTTTCAATTCTTTTGTGTATATACCCAGAAGTAGAATTGCTAGGTCATATAATTCTACATTTACTTTTTGAGGAAGCTCCAGACTGTTTTATACAGCAGCTATTCTATTCTATATTCCCACCAACAACACGTAGGATTCCAGTTAGGAATGACTGTTAAGTACAAAATATGAATCAAAATATTGTTACAATTTCTAGCCTTGCACCTTTTCATTTCTCTTGTCACCTCCCCTTTTCACTGAAATAAAAACCACAGGATTGATGATACAAGACTCAGGCTGATTAGAAATCCTAACTATAAAATGTCTTCTCATGCCAGGTGTAATAGGTACCTGCCTCTAATTCTACCACTCCAGAGACTAAGGCAAGAGAATCACTGCAAGTTCAACATAGTCAATTCAAAGCCAACCTGAACTATGTAGTAAGAACCCATTTCAAAAAACCAGAAAGAAAGGCTTGTGACAAGGAGAGATGGAGAAAGTTAAACATTATAAAAGTTCTCAGCATACGTTACTATAATAAAAAAAATTAGAGGGGGGTAGGAATTAGCAGTATAGAATGGGGTCACAAGATCATTTCCTCCCTAAAATCTGAATGACACACTACATTCCTTGGGATGTAATAAAAAATGTAACTCAAAATTGGAGAAGAAGCAAAATCAAGTTCTGATAATAGCAAAGTACATGCAGATGAAGAAGAGACCATCACTTTGACCTTTTAAATGGAGAAAAGAAATGTTACAGCCTATGATACTTTATAAAATAGTCAGACATTAATATTTACATGTTCCCAAATCTGTTTATACCACATCACATATATATTTTACACTTATTTAAGTTTCATATGAAAATATATTCTCTATAAGACAAAAACAGTAACTTTCACTTTATAAAAAAATAAATATAAATTTAATAAAACAAATTGACAATTTTGTGATAATATGTAAATTTCTTATTAAAGAAAGATTAAAATATTTTATTTGGATTTCATCAGAGTTAATTCACAACAGAATTTCAGAATTACAATCTGTAGGAGAAGGAATACCACAATCATTTTTCCAAGTTACTTCAAAATTATTCACAAAGGATTTTGATTAGGTTGGCCACTACACGAACGTTGAGACTATTTCCAAGCAGACGGTAACACTGCTTCGTGGTTATCTTCTTAGGAAATCCTAGAAAAGGAGGGTAACAATTTATAATATAATCATTTATAATGATAATTTCCACAAATAAAAAGATGTACCCTTTAGTAAACACATAAGGTCATTTCAGAAGTACAGTCATGCACTGTCCAACTACACTTGAGTCAACAACAGACCACATGCACGAAGGCAGTCACACAAGAGTGTATCACCTCGTGAGGTTACGGCTGAGTTTGCGTAAATACACTCTGTGATGTTCACATAATAATGAACTCGCCTGAGGACACATTTCTCAGAAGGTATTGTTAAGGAACATATAACTTTACATCACTAAGGTTTTCATTAAATTTTATTATTAAATGAGAATTTGGAGTCAAAATATACCACTACATTAGATTGCCCACACAATGAAACACTATCCTATCATATTATACAGCATATTATGGTCAATTCTCACGCATGGACACACATGTATACACATGCACCCACAGAACTCCTAGAAATCCATGTGTATTAACACACTATAGAAAAAGTGGTAGCTCCCACTTTTGTAGTCATTTATAGAAATATAACTGACATCCCATAAAATTCATCTTTAAAGTGTAGGGTTTAGCGCTTTTTAGCTTAGAAAAGTGTTTTAGACATCTCCATAACTTCTAGAATACTTGCATTACTTCAAAAAAGGAGCCCAGTATCAACTAATGGCCTCTTCCATTCCCCTTTTTGCCTCCTAACCATTAATCCATGAATTTGTCTATTCTGAACATTTCATAGAAATGGAACTATATAATATTTACTACATCTTATGTCTGGCTTCCTTTGTTTAGCACGTTTTCAAGGTTAATTTTCATTACAGTATGTTTCAACACATTTTCTTATGGGTAAATAACAGTTTATTGTATGGATATACCACATTTTATTTACTCATTGACTCACTGATAGACACTTTGTTTCTATTTTTTGTCTATTATGCATATGCAGTTGTGAACATTCATGTGTAAGTTTTATGCAGAACTGTCAGAAGTTTTCCACGGTAGCTGTCAACCTTTTACATTCCCAACACTTGACAACAAATCCACTTTCTCGATTCTTTGCTAACACTATTAGTAACTCATATTTTAGCCATCCTAAATGGAATGAAGCAATACTTCACTGTGGCTTGATTTATGTTTCCCTAAAAACTCCTAGTGTTGAACATCTTTTTCATGTGCTTATTGGTCCTATTTCTATCTTCTTTGGAGAAATGCTGCTTCAAATCCTTTGCACATTTTTACGTTAGATTAATTTTTCTTTCACGTTGAGTTGTAAAAGGTCTATACATTTTGGATACTAGTCCCTCATAGTTGCTTTTCATACTTTCTTCCACAAATTGATTTTCTCATGTTGGACTTCTATTTACATTCAGGAAAACATGAAATACCAATTAACTAATGGAAAAGTAAATTTGATAATAAAATTAGGAAATAAAGAGCATGAAGAATAGCAAAATTTCATACTTGTAATAATCAGAAGGTAAAATTGGTTATGGTAAAACTGTCTCATCAACACTTGACATTCTATTAACTAAAATAAAAAGAGAGTAATTGCCATTGTAAAGCTATTATTTGCAACTGGATATGATTTTAATGCTGAGAGTCTAAAGATACCATGTCACAGGCAAGCACATTACTCACCTCATTTAGTTCAAGCAGCTGGAGATACAAATGTACGTACAAACAAACTTTTAGAATATCCCAGGGATGTAATGGTTGTACTAGCTTATAATCCCACCAACAATGTAGAAGGATCCTTTTTACAATCAATATGGAAATCTGTATGAAGATTACTCAAAAAAACTGAAAACAGAAATTCCATCTGACACAGCTACTCCCTTTCTAACTATATTCCCAAAAGAACTAAATACATCATACTACAGCAATACATAAATACCAGTGTTCATAGCAGCACAATTCACAATAGTTAAATCCTGGAAGTAGCCTATATATATCCATCAACAGAAGATTAGATAAAGAAAATGTGGTACCTATATATAATGGAATACTATCTAGCTATAAAGAAGGATAAATTAAAGATATTTGTAAGAAAGTGGATACAACTTGGAAACATAGTATTAAATGAAATAAATCAGACACTGAAGTTTAAATGTACAGTTTCTCTCATGTGAATAATACAAAGTACAAATAAAAGACAAAATAAAAGATTGACAAAATGACTAGGGAGATAGATCTTTTCCAAGAAAATTGAGGATGCGTCACATATATGTTCTAAATACCCACAGTGAATGTAATCATAATATGTTGCAAACATGAATTTAAAAAGCACAACAAGAGTAATGAAAATGGGGAAAGGTAACCTAGACACAAGGACAGAGGCAAGCGGAGAGGGGCAGGAAGTAAAAAGAATCAAGATATATTAAGCACAGGTGCCCACTCCCCAAGATGAATGTAAACTTCACGTACTACAAACAAGCACTGATAAAATAAAATATCTCAGAGGCAACCTTTTGCAATAGTACTACATTTAAAGAGAGAAAAGCTTTGTAAACACACCAAATCTGTAAAACTGATGCATGTGTATCTGTGTGTACTTTATATCTAGATATTAAAGTCTAAACTAATTAGCAGAAAACATATAATTGCTTAAGTTACAGGGTGACTTTGAAAAACTCGGATATGTTAAAATAACAGTAATAATCCTCAAAAGCAAAGAAACAGACATTAACAGGCTCAGGATAACAGCTTTCAAATAGTAAGCGTAGGTTACTGTCCCTGACTTCCAAAATCAGCTACTTCACGAACACACCCCTGTCAGTCACTAAGAATCAGGGCAAAATATACAGCAGATCAATGCAAATCCATCCCTGCTGGTGGACAAACAGCTCAAACAATGCCCGTTTCTGAGCCCAAATCAGTCGTGCTGGGAGCACATGCGGAGGACAGTCGTGCCATGGTGCTGCTCCGGGCTATGCTGTCCATCGAAGTAGAGCGCATATTTAAAAGAGTAAGCAGATTAAAAGCTTCTATTCAGAGAACTTTGAAAAGTTCCATTTTACCATTCTAAAATTTAAAAATAGTGAAAAAAGTTTATGAAGTAAAGGTTATAGAAGTGTCTGTCATTTAAAAATAAAAGCCAGCATAAATTTTTTATCATCTCAGATACTGGTACACTTTTTAAGTATACTAACTTATTTATCAGAATAACCCGGTGAAGTGAGTGCCATATGCAGCAAGTAAACTAAGACAGGGTTCAGGTGCTGCCAGGGTTCAAACTCGATCTAACCCTCGGCTGTGTCTGCGCCCCTTACCAAGTCTGAGGACTGCCAAAGTGACTACTATTCTTGGAGTATAATAAGCACTGTGATAAAATTAAAGAATTAATTTTTGTTAGTTAATTGCTGCTTTATTAGTGTGTAAAGTAAGCATGATTGTTCACAAAAGAAAAGAAAAAATAGTAACAAGGAAAGCAAACTGCAAATTAGCATTCTGGAGTCCAAGTCTCAGCTTTTTATTTGTTTTATGGTGTTCTCATTTGTTTTGTGACATAAACTAAGGCAAGAAAATATATTTTCTTAAATACGGTAACACTCCCCATGACATTCTGCACTGAATGAGATCACCAAAGGGGCGTGTGTGTGAGGAAGTGGAACATAAATTGGCTGCTGTAACCGTGCTTACAGAGTCATTACTATGAGGATAGTTAAACTGTACTGGCAGTTTTCCCCTACTGTACAAAAGGGTTATGTCCCAAAGCCTCATCTGTAAATCCGTTATTTAGAACTGAAATATGATCTATTTCATCCATTTTTACTTCAAGAATGCTGTATTAATATTGTAACAAGATGGACTTAATGAAGTTTTGCTTTTCTACATTCAAATTTCCGGTCAGAATTCTCAAAAGCATATCTCCCCGTTTTGCAGCGCTGTAAACATGCTGGTAAGGTCATTAGCCAGGTACTGGGAATGCATGTGCGTACACACACTCGCAGACACACACACACACACACACACACACACAGAGGTCTACACAGCAGTGGCGTTCTTACAGCACACAGCACTGTTCTTGAAATGCTCTGCAGATCCCCTAATCTGTGCTCCAGAGTCTCCCTACTTTCCTGGACTTCTCCGCCTTCTCCACCTTAATCAACCCTTACAGGGAAGGACAAAGGCACATAACTAGGAACACTGTATTTCTGCGGAGGAAATAAATACAAACATCCCCCACTGTAATTCCTCAACTAAACTGCCTTTCACATTTCTTCACGGAAGAAAGCCCATGAAAGGCGTTCTTTCACAAGGCCTGGCGTGTGTTACTAAATCAGACCTCCAGAAGTAAGGAGATAAGCTGAAAGGGGATGTTACAAGCAAACACTGTTCAGGTGAGGAACTGCCTGTGCAAACCACTCTGACCACTGTGAGAGTTAAGGCTAGGAGTGAGAAAGGAACAGACGGAAGCAGGTTACTAGAAAAAAGGCAAAGCGGGCGGGAAAATGCACTTGGGACAGGAAGGGGGTTTCTTGAACCCATCTATGTACGCAACGGTTTATTCATTAAATACACATGTGAGTCTCTAAGGGAATTTCGAGAGCTTTAATAAATGAAAGAGGAGGTCTACATGGATCCCACATACCGAACTCTGGAGGAAATCCAAGGAGATTTGCTATTTCTTTAGGAGTGAAATATCGAAGCTTAAGCATTGACAACTTTGTCATCTGTTCTTCTTGTGGCAGACTGGTAAGGGATTTGTAGACAGTCTCAATCTAGAAGAAAACATGTAAGAGCATGAGAAAGTCCTGTGCAACCAGATTTGTTCAGTTTTCCAACTGTGAGACCACTTAACAGTAATGGGCACAAGGTCTGCTGTGACACATAGCAGCAAGACACACAGGGAAAATGCTTTGTGCAAAAAACCATATAATTGGTTAAATAATCACATCCTAAGCTTCGAAAAGGAAGAAAAGGCTAACAGTGAACAGATTAAGATACTTTCCAGTGTATCTATCATTTTGAATTCCTTAAAATGAAATCATGAGACTATAAGCAATAAATAACAATGTAACATAAATATAGCAAAAGAAAGAGACAAAGGAAGCAAGGTCAACTGACAAAGCAACGGTCAATTTTACAATGATAACAAGACCATTAAAACATTTTATATATAATTTCATCCAATTAAGATATTTTCTTAAGATGATGATAAAATACTGTATCTAAAACACAATTAATCGGGGCTGGGGATTTAGCTCAGCGGCAAAAGCGCCTGCCTGGCAAGCGCAAGGTCGTGAGTTCGGTTCCCGGTACCGGAGAAAAACCAAAAAAAAAAAAAAAAAAAAAAAAAAAAAAAAAAAAAAAAAAAAACACAATTAATCAAGCCCAGACCTTCACTGACCTATGACAAAATTTTTACCATGAGTAAATTTTATTAATAGGTAAGAGTTTCAATCAATATAAAAGACAATGTGCTTTTACAATTATTCAAAAATATATAAATTTGCTATATGTCAGGCTTGTTTTCAACTATGACACCATGAAGACTTTATAACTAAAGAATAAAACGCATTGCTACAACAGATCTTTTTCCTTATTTGATTTTATTTTGTCTTTTTGAGACAGGGTCTCGCTATGCAGTTCAGGTTGGCCCTGCGCTCACTTTGTAGTCCAGGCTGGTCTCGAACTCACAATGATCCTCCTGCCTCAGCCTCCCAAACGCTGGGATTACAGGCATGCATCACCACGCCTGCTTTAGATCTTTTTCTTTAAAAGGAAGTTTTATGGTAAGTGCTACAAACGAAAACACCAATAGTAAGATGTTTGTGCAAAATTTTAGAATATTAACTACTGTAAGCTAAATTTCAATTTACTATTGATCAAATTAAAGGAAATACAGAATATAAGGAAAAGAAAAAGGAAAATAAAAATGAAACATTCCCTATGTATAAGGTCATATGACAACAAGAAAAATAATTTTTCTACTACAGTAAAGAAACTATATATGAATATATACAAAAATGAATAACATTCATTCTCAATTGAACATGTAAAATTAACATTTTCAAATTAATTAAATGTAATATTATTTATGGTTTCAAAAAATTTCAGTTTTAAAACATACATGGTACCTGCACATCTTCTGCAGTCTGTAACACAGATCCTGTCCCTTCCATGTAACTTCCATAACTAAAAAATTAACATGAGTATTAGGCATGACCTAATGGAGCTGTTAATGCTAAACCTCATACATATTTCTTTAATCACTTAATCTTGATAACTACATCCTTCTGAAATGTATGGAATGATATCCCATAAATATAATTGAAATTGAAAAATTACTAGGGAAAAGACATAAGATAATTCTATTTAAACTCAGACGTTTACATGGCATAGTTTTATGGGTTGTGTAAACACCACTGGATTACTATTGCCACTTTGTAATGTCATTTCTGTACTGTTCATCACCAGAGACTACACCTTATACCCAAAGGTTGTTCAATACTGGCATACCTGCGACATTAAAACACATTACTGTACAGGTGAACACAGACTGTGGCTATCTTTAATAATGCCCGACCTATCACGTCTTCTCAGGGTCCCAAAGCCCTGCTCCCTAATGCCTCACAAACATGGCCCCACTGAGCTGGGGTGGATCTCATTTGATTCAGTATGTGCTTACTATCATTTTCAACAAGAATTACACCATCATATAAAAACTATAAAAGTATAAAATATTTCAGAAATGAAAGGAATTAGTAACATTTCTTTCTCTAAATCATTTGCCAAGTTGGCTATGCAACATATTAGCATTGTATTTTGCAAAGAGAACAATGTAAGATATATTTTAGAAAAAAGTCATAACTGGGAAAATAACTTGTACAAATATATCACATGCATGAATTTGTGTGAACAAGTATATCATCTGCAGTAGAACAGACTTCCACAGTAAGGTTTCTTTTTTTGCCATGTTTATAATTATGAAAGAATCTAAAGGTCGCTTTTTATTACAAAATTGGTAAGTCCCATTTATGAGAGTCCTAAACAGAGCCTCTTGGACTTGGTGTCAGGCAACAGCTAAGTGCAGGCTTATGGGAACTAGAGGCCCAGGGCAGCGTGCGACAAAGTGAGCGTCTGATGTGGCTGTCCTGGGCACAGTGTCCAGACAGCGAGCCGGTGGGTAAGAGGAGATGGCGTGAACCGTCACATCACACACCTACCTATCAAATACGGTCAGTGGCATTCACAAAATGGGACCTTTGGCAGAAGTTTTCTGAAAAAGCCTAATGTTTCCCTTCATTTGAGGTTTTAAAAATTGAGGGAAATGTATTAAACGTTCAAAAGAGAACCCTAAATGTTCACTAATCGGGAACCAGTAAAACATGTGATGACATACCTATCCCATAAAAATACAAAAGACCTGTGTGTACTGGTGGACTGTAATATCCAACTTACAGTGAAAGAAAGGGCACATAATACTATATATGGTAGGCCACCATTTACTTAAAATAGGGATAAAAACGCATGCATACTTAAGCCCTCACAAATAACACTTCTGGAAGGTGAAAAAGTCAATCAGTGCCAGGCACTGCAGGTGTGGAGGGATACTAGATGCCCAAGACAGAAGTAGGAAGGAACCTTACAATCTTGGTATCTTGAATTTTGAACCATGGTAATATAGTACTTTTTCAAAAATGGAAAAAAATTAAATAAAATTTACCCTAGAATACCCACAGATAATTCTGTTTTTAGATTAAAATTTAATTTCTTCTTACACATGTATCATAAAACTCTTTGAGGCCTGATGCAGCATGGAAAGAGAGGTAACAAAAACCTGGCAGTTCTGGAGCTACAGAAACATGTGCAAACCACATACTTACGAAGGTCACCAAAGAAATGGCCTTGTCTGAACACTTTTGTGGTGGTGCACATAATGTCCTGCCAGAAGGAAATTTCACTTGTGTTTTAATAGAACATGAAGCAAGCTGATATGCAAAAAAAAATCATTCCAGCAGAAACATTTTACACAAAGTTCCTTATTTTAAAAACTAAATGAAACAATAGCTACAAAAACCTGGTTATTGTGATTACAACACCAACAGAGTCTCTTGAAAGCCTACCCTTTGGTAAAGCATGTGGACCTTCTGCAGGTGGGTTTAACAATATCTAATATAAAAGCATATCGCAGCAATGACTTCAGTGGTAAATAGTACTGATTCGTGTCAATTTCCTCTTCAAGAAAATCTTTCAGCATTTGCACAGAGAGATCATTGTCCTGTCGATGCTTCCTGTCAATTTCTTCTGCAGTTTCAAGCTTAAAAAGAATGGTATCTTTGCCAGAACACTGTGGGCTTCTACCAAAGTAGGTATTAGCTTCAATTTTCTTTACATTACTTCTATTTTCTGCACCTATTGCATGTTTTTGTGGATGTTCAGATTCAATTTTGGGAAAATCCATCAGTACCTGGGATTAAGTAAAAAATACACAAATTGTCAAAAGCTTTACTAAGCACCAAAGACAAGGTAATACTACCCAAGAAACATTATTAAAAAAAAAAACTCATTAGCTTTTATAGGGTTACAATTAAAGGGACAGAAATGGTGGCTTGCTTATGTTTGCACAAGTTATTACTCACATAGTTATAACAGTGTCATGAAGTTACAGATGACTTATTTCACTAAATTACTGTTTTCTGTATTTATTAATAAAAACATTCAACAAAGCAACGGGAAGTATATTAAATATAGATATAGCACCATATTAGGAAAAGATGTTTAAAAAACATTAACATCTCCAAAAAAAAGTGTGCTTTGGATCAAAGGTTGTCATATTCCTTTATTAAAAAGGAAAAGCTGGAAAAAAGGAAAAACTAGAATATATTCATGATCTAAAAGAAAACTAGTAATTAAAAATAATGGTGCAAGGCCGGGCGTAGTGGCGCATGCCTGTAATCCCAGCACTCGGGTGGCTGAGGCAGGAGAATCCGTTGCGAGTTTGAGGCCAGCCTGGGCTACAAAGTGAGCTCAAGGCCAGCCTGAACTGCATAGCGAGACCCTGTCTCAAAAAAGACAAAAAAAAAAAAAGAAAAGAAAAATGGCGCTTTTCACTGTGAAAGGTTACGTCTACTCATGATTCCCACAGGAAAAACTTTTCTCTGCAAAACTCATAACCATCTGTGAAGTCCCATTTTATACAACAAAAACTACCTTGGGTATTTTTAATGATTAAGTCTTTGTTAAAATACATTTTACATTATTTTTGAAATGATTCTTTATGAAAAGGAAGAGATATTAGTATAGTAATTACAGGAGATTCAAATGACAACTGATTTCCTATTAGAAAGATTTGGGGTTTTTTGTTTTATTTTGTTTTGTTTGTGTTACTAGGGGGTTGAATCCAGGGCTGCTCTATCACTAAGCTACATCTTCAGTCCTTTTTCATTTCTTATTTGAGTTAGTGTCTTGCTAAGTAGCCAAGACAGGACTCAAACTTGCTATCCTCCTGCCTCAGCCTTCCTAAGTGCTGGGCTTGAGGCATGTACCACCATGCTCAGCAGGACTTGTTTTTTGAGTATTTAATGTATATTAGTAGTGGCTACAGAGAGCTTCACAGAACCAAAGAAACTGCTAAACCCTCTCAATTTTTTACAAAAGCACAAAAAAATTTGCTCACATAGAGTTCTATCTATTCCAATAGAATATTTTATTCTTTTATAAATTATTACTGCATTCTAATCCATTAAGCTAAATAGTATTGGTTTTAAAGAAAATGCAACCAAAGTGTTAAAGTATTCTTAAGCCATTTTAAGTCAATATACTTTATCAAACACAATCAACAGTTTCAACTGAGGTAAGAAAATGATAAATGCAAATAAGCAATGGTCAAAAGATAAGTTACCAACATTGATGGTAAGTTTTTCTTGGTTTTTGTTGTTGTTTTTTCCTACTTTTAACTCATTTTTCTCTGATGATGACATTTTTGGTGTGTTTTGTTTTGCTTTGGTTTTGATTAGTTTCACCCATTGAAAGTGGCACGAGGCAAGGGAAGAGGCCTTGGAGATGGGCCTAGGGCACGGTCAGGGACTACAGACTCTACAGGTCACTTAGAACCTACAGAAAGCAGTTCTTGAAAATATATTAGCAGACTGAGATACACTTGCAACAAATAAATCACAATAATAACAATAAGAGTAATACCTGGCCCGGGGCTTGGAAGGGTAATGGCTCCGACTGAAGCTTCGCCATAAGGAAATACCGGAGCCTGGCATTGGGAACGCCCAGCTGCAGGGAAAGCAGAGCGGCTCGGATTGATCCAGCACTGACCGGTCCCTACTGACATCGGTAACAAAACCCACACAGCGCACATCTAGCTTCTGCCAGCGTGAATTCTGCCCCTGGAGCTGGGAAGATTGCTGTGGAGCAAATTCTAAACCTGTTACCCTGCTGTTCTGTATGATAGAAAGATCGAATCTGATGAATCATGTGTCTGAGTCACTTTCATTTTATATTTCACAGGTAAAATAATTATAACATACAGGCATTTTATTAAAAATGAAATGTTTAGTTACTCTTGGTTACAGCTTTAACTAAAAATGACTTACTATGTGTTAGCAGTTGAAAGGCATTAAATATGAAATAAATTTAAAGAGATCAGAAATATTGCCAATTTCTACAACTTGCATTATCTTTTTTTTTTTTTTTTTAAAGACAGGCTATGTAGTTCAGGCTGGTCTTGAACTCACTATGTAGCCCAGGCTGGCTTCCAACTCTCGGCAATCCTCCTGCCTCACTTTCCCAAGGGCTGGGATTACAGGTATGCACCATTATGTCCAGCCTTGTATATCTATTTTTTAAAGTGGGTTTTCTTTATATTTCTTGACATGTAAATATATAATATGGCTCAAGATGACAAAAAACTAAAAAGAAAAGTAACAAAAAAGTGACACACAAAAAATCAAACTTTGTCAAATAACAACCAATTTGATTTAACATGAAATAAAAGGAATGTTTGCAATTAAATGGTATGTAACACAAAAAGTAATGAGAAAATTATTTTCCATCTTGGTTTATGCTGAAGCATTCCTGAATGCAGCATACCTACTTTGGAACTACCAAACTGCAACATATTTTCAAAACATGCAACATGTTATCATTTATTTTCCAAAGGAAAATGTATCCTTTATGAGCTTCAAAGTATATACCTTTTTTCATAAAATAAGTAAAAATAAAACTGCATGCATTTACTACATTCTTTAGAAAGACCCAAATCTGAACTAATTTCAGGATTTACATAAAATATTATTAAATATAGAACCATTTTGTTTATTGACCAAATCCCCACTAGTAAAAAAAAAAAAAAAAAAAAAAAAAAACCTTAAATTGCAATCTATAAAACGACTTATAAATGTGTTACCTACAGAGGTTGGAGATAAAAGAAATTCTTGGTACTGAAAGCCACAATTTTCTATTGTTTCTATCAATAGGTCTCTGAGAAGAAAAAAAAGTAAAAAAGAGAAGCTTTCACTCTATTTGGAAGTGGGATTCATAGAAAATAATGCACATAAAGCTGCACTCACTGTAAGTGAGAGCTGTAACTGCACTCAAGCTGTTTAGAAAATGATCTGAAGCCTCTGCTAAGTCCAGTACTTGAGAAATTACCTTTTATTAAAAAGATACAGATAATTCTTCCTTACAAGTAAATAAAGCTGCCAACTAGTGCACTCAAACTGATGAGAGTTCAAATCATTAATCTACCAACGAATCTGCTCTGCAAACTGAAGCTCTGTCTTTGTGGCAGCAAATCCCATGGGAACACTATTATTACCAACAGCAGGTAAAGCAGCGACTCAGCTGTATCTGACAGAACCCCGATGCAGGGCGACTTCATGCCTGAAACTGGAGGGCAGAAAACGCCCAGTACCAGGACCAGTGCTTACTGAACACACTGCTCCTTCAAAGGAAATAGGCACCAATATAAGTGACTAAAATCGAGAAATACGATTCCCACTAAAAGCAGGGCTCCATCTGGAAAAATTCAAAGATAGCAAAATGGGACAGACTCAAGAGAATAAAACCTTTCAATACTATACACGATTAGTCAAAATCAATATTAGTAAGTAAAGTCTGTAATATGTGCATAAAATGTCAGGATGTATACACTTATTTTGTGATCTTTAGTTTACAACTGTTCCTACTATAAAATACACCAAGTGGAAGATGCAAGCAAGACAAATACATTTTTTACCTTGTAGAAGACACTTCAAAACCTTTAACATTTTCTAAAAGAATGTATTTCGGTAATTTTTGTAATCTAAAAAAAAAAAATGTAATTCCAAATCATTATAAGGAGTAAAAATTAAAGATCACTACTTGTGGGAAACATAAGGTTAAGCAATTTTCTGAATTCTTTATAAAGGAGATTTAGAGAATGGAGACAACTCATATTTTATTCATTTTTTTCTTCATAAATATGGCACACTGATAAAGTCCACACTTGAAATGCTAATTTCTATTGACGCTCACCTCAAACACTGGCTTGCACCACTCAAAGGGCTTCCATTCACACAGAGTGATGGCGTTAGCACAAGTCTCTGACCATGGATAACAGCAGCCACTAACATTAGCATCATGTACATTACTACTATGAGCAGAGGCAATGGAATTTAACTTGTGGGCTGTAATTCCCTGTCACTCACTGTGGCGGCAAGCATGGAGCTGTAGAACATTTGGGGTTATTCTATCACCTGGCATGAGATGATAAATGACACACACAGTATCTGAAGGAAGCATGGAAAAACTGGTAATCTCTGCAGAATGTCAAACACCGCATTGCCTATGCACATAGTTTTAAATTTAAGGAACAAGACTAGAAGATTTTACCTTGGGAGAATATCTAGAATATGTAAGAAGCTGTTTGTTCTTCGATCCGTCATATCACCCTGTAGGCCAATTCTAAAGGAATAAAGAAAGCACACAAAAAGTTTAAGAATTTTAATTAAATATAGAAAACTGCTCTCAAAAAGTCAAAACTGAAAGTATTAAAATATGCTGGTTCATCTTTAGCCATCAGGGAAATGTGAATCAAAACTACATTTAGATTCCATCTGCCCCTGTAGAATGACTGCCATCAAGAATACAAAAAGCAATAAAATTCTGGTGGGGGAGGCTGCTTTTTTACATTGTTGGTGGTGGAGTTTCCTCAAAAAACTAAAAATAGAGATATTATTTGACTCAGCAAAACCATTCCTTTCAGTATATTCTCGAAAGAATTAAAGTCAGTACATGATAGAGACACCCACCTACCCATATTCCTTGTGGCACTATTCACAATAGTTAAGCTACGGAAACAGCCTAGCTGCCCATCCGCAGATGAATGGTTAAAGAAAATGTGGTATATATACACAATGGACTATTTTTGGCCAGAAAGAATAAAATCATGTTATTTGTAGGAGAATGGATAGAACTGGAAACCATCAAGTTAAATGAAATAAACCAGACTCAAAATGTCAAATATAACATGTTTTCCTTCATATGAGGAATCGATCTCTCAGTTTAGAAAGAAATGGCATTGGGGGACGGAGAAGGGGAAGAGGGTAACGAGAGGAAAGTAACAATCAAAGTACGTTACACACATATATGTATACACTAAACTGAAAACTATGTTCTGCATAACTTGGGTGCACTGTTAAAAATAGTTGATCTCCACTTTGAAGATATCAATATGTAATACAACAAGCATTGTTAATTCCCTACCACTCTGTTTGTAACTCCGTACTGTCTGTACTGTTCCTCTGTTTTTTTGTAAAATGTTGTCTGTCTGATAATATTTTCCTCCTTTTATTTTTAAAATTAAAAAAAAAAATAGTTGATCTTCAGCCAAAAAATATAGTCATCTTTGTGGCTACAGGGAACAAAATGCATTCATTCATTTGATTAAAAGAAAAAGAACCCTTGCATATCCAATAAATACACTTAAAGTTTGTTTTACAAAGCAACGTGCCAAAGTAACTTATATGAACCAAAGAACAAGAACTCAGGAAACAATATCACTGAGTACTCTCTTTAAAATACACATCAACACACAATTTGCTGCTGATGTCTTTTGCTCTGACTGCTGTGAGACGACATGAGTTTAGATAAATGCTTAGAGCGGGCAGCAGACTGGAGCTCAAGGCACTAGTGATAATCATCATTTCAGCGATTAAAATAAAAACTATGTTTTTATTGTCAGTCCAATGTCCAGTGTTAACAGTGTTAACAAAGGCTTTAAGCTGAAGGCTTAATTCTATAAACAGGAGATGCAACTCAATAGGCTAAGTAGGTTCACATGTCATGTAACAGGCAGTACTGGGGTTAGCAATTAAATCCTACAGGTAAGATTCACAACATGACCAAGGATCAAGCAGAAGAAAAGATCTGGATGAGGCCTGAGTAGCAAAAACAGAGGACCAGGGTTCAAAACATTGGTACACATTACCTTCAAAATCTTAAATAAGTTACTTAACATCACTTATCAGTTAGCAGGGCCAAAACCACCAGTGGATCTGAGGCTTAGCTAAGGGATTAGGCTGGACTTGAACAGATTCCTCTAGAAATCTTTAGTTCTTCAGTCTTCTTCTCAAAGTTCCAAATACTGACAACTACAGAACAGTTACTGCGGTCGTCAGCAGCTGGAATTGGGCTAATAAACAAGGGTGGTGGTAGGGAAGATCCTGGGGTAATACATTTTGCTTCGCAATGGTGAGGCTGCATTTTGTTCTGTGTACCCTAATTATTGTACCTAACAGGCCATGCTCTTGCTTATGCTGAGAGCTACTTTATATGGAATGCCTTCTGCCCTCTCCGATAAACTTTATCTACTCTCGTAGCTCAGACATCACCTCTGAAAGAATTCCCCTTTCCTGGAAAGAAGCCAGGCTTTTCTTCTCTAGGCTCTTTTGATATTCAGTATTCTCTCAGCGTATAACAGGAATACACAAAATGACTGATAAATCCTGGCTCAGATTTTCAAGAAAAGTTACTTAACCTTTCTATGCCTCGGTTTCTCACCTATAAAACAAAGATAAGAGCAATACTTGCCCCAAAAATTCACAGAATAGAAGACACTTAGAGGTTTATCACTATTACTACTACTTAAAATAATTTAAAATAACATTATTAAAAATAGAAGTGAAGATGATTTAGTTGAGATTTTATTTAAGATATAATTCCTCAGAATGTGTAGTCAAATAAATACATGACTTTTAATAAAGAAATGATAACTTCTGCACATGAAAAGTCAGCATTATTAAATATACATATCAAATTTAAGAAATGTAAAATGCACAAATGCATAAATGCATGCTAGACAAGCTTTTACATTTTACATTAAATTTACCACTTGAATATTTATTATGGAAATTCACTTTCATGAATCTATATTAGAAAGGTATTCTTAAATGCTCAATAGTTGAAACAAACTAACGTGGCTTGGGCTGGAAATTGATATCATATCTTAAGTAGATGTAAAAAGTACCATCTTGTATATTACTGTTGATCAAACTATTTGCTCATATAATTATCATTTCCCTTAAGATTAATGCTGAATTATAACTATGAATAGATGAAAAGAATTATTATGAAAAATTTCAAAACTATGAAGATTTAGCTAGTAGTCTTCAAAAGCTCTTTCTCAGAAAAATGCACTGTACATACCTTGTAAATGGTTGACATGGAGGGCTCATTAAAATCATATTGAAAGATAATTTGTCAAACTCTTCCAGTGTAATGCCCTGTAGAATGAACATTTGGGGGAAAAAGAATATAAAAAAGAAAGAAGGGAAAATGTTAACCAACTGTAACTAAATACATCAAAAATCTTAACAGTTTATATGACAAAATGCTTTCCAAATCAACTCCAGTCAAACTAACTTCCGAAAGCAATCTCATAAGAGAGTAAGGCAGTAAGCCGAGGTTGTGAGAAAAAAGGCGACTTCTCACCAGGCCCTAGGCAAATAAGCACTGCATGTACTTATGGTCTAAATGTGATCTTTTATGTATGTATATATTGTGAAATGGTTAAATCAAGTTAAGTGACAGATTATTCTTCACATTCTTATCATTTTTTGGTTTTAAGAACACAGCAATTTCAGGTATATACTAATTACTATTAACTACAGTCACCACTATAGTTGTGTAATAGGTCACCCACACTATTCCTCTCATCTAACTGAACAGCTGACTGACAACTCCCCATCCCTATACCCCCAGCCTGTCTCCACTACTACCACTTTATTCTCTGCTTCTGAGTTTGTCTTTTAAAGTTTTCACATATCAGTGAGATCATATGGATCATATCTTTTTGTGTCTTATTTATCCAGGTTGTCTCAAAAGACAGGATTTTCTACATATTTTAATCTCTCCCTCGATAGTCCCTATATTCCTGCTTTTATCATTAAAAAATGTGAAATGAAAAGGGAATATTATGCCTAGGGAAAACATATAGGACGTACACCAGGGGTTGTGTTTAAAAAGGGCATAGAAGGTAATGGAGAGCTTAGGAGTAACGGGAGGCAAGTGGGGAATTAATAGTCACTAGTGTGTAAGCTTCATGTCAGCAGAAATCTCATCTGCTTTGTTCGTTTTTGTAATTCAAGACCTAGCGCAATGCTTGGCATAGAACAGGTACTCTGAGTATTGGTGAATTGTATTTATGAATATTGTTTAGTGAACAACATATTGCGTCTAAAAAAGAAGCAATGAAATACTAGGCAAGAGCTAATAAAGAATAAAACAGAATGTAAAGTTGGTAAGATGGGTTGCAAGTCAAAAAACACTGAAGAGCCACAGAAAGTTGCTTTATAATGATAACTGGTACAATCCTTAGAGAAGATGTAACTGTCATAAGTGTACATGCATAAAATAGCATCAGAGTTCATAGGGCAGGACACCATAAGACACATGCTCAACACGTTTTTATTGAATATCTACTTACCCTTCTATGAAAAAAGACCATAGAAAATTAGATTAAATGATTATTTTCAAGTATTAGGCCATCAGCAATCAAGATTATTACCCCCTTAGGGAAAAAAAAGTTGAGCCATGATTGGCACCGCTTTCTGCCTAGCAACAATTTCTAGAAAGTGGCAAAGGGAAAGGAACTCCAAACAGAACTGGGCAGTCTAGGTGAGTTAGAAGGACTGGAGGGCTGGGGATGTAGCTCAGTGGCGCAGTGCCTACCTGGCAAGCACAAGGCTGTAAGTTCCATTCCCGATACCAAAAAATTAAACAAAACAAGAAAGAGACAGGAGTTCCTTCAGAAAGGTCAAGATGACCAGAGCTAGCGCAGAGTACCAGCATCCTTTTGAGTGGCTTGCTGAGTATCAGTCTGTGCGTGCTACAGCTAAAATGCGCTGTGAGGCAGGGCAAAGAACAAACGTTGGGGAAGGAATAATTATTGGGAAGCTGTAAGCCAAATAATTCCCTGACCCTACACTTGATTTACCATCAAAAGAAACCAAGCTGAATAGAGCGGGGTAACTCAATAGAGAACTACACTGCTTGAATTCAATACATCCTAGAAAGTTACAACCATCAAAACAGTGCATTATTGCTACACGAACAGGCCTATCTTTACTACTGAGGAAAGAGCCTAGGAATAGGCCACACTTTTGACTTTTTTTAAAATAAGAGTCAAGGAAATTGATTAGGGAAAGGATACTCTTCTACAAATAGTGCTGAGACATCTTTATGTCTCCTTGGGAAAAAAAACACACCATGACTCATATCTCACACTATCTTTTTAAAAAGTAACTACATTGATCATAGAGCTAAATATAAAAGCCAAATCTGTAAAAATTCTAGAAAAAAACAGGGTTTGCAAAGATTTCTTAGACTGCACTGAAGTCTGGATAGAAGGGGAAAAAGCTAACTTTGCCACTCTGATGGACACTAAGGCAAGCTATAGAACTGGAGAAAATATTGTTATATATACTTTTGCCAAATAAGTTCAATCCAGAAAACAACTGTTACAACTAAATAATAACAATAGAAATGCCCAAATAATAAAGATTGGACAAGAAATTTTTTGACATAGAAAATGATCAGCCAACAAATATAGAAGATACTCAACACTGTTAGTATCAGGAAAATGCACATTAAAATCCTAATACCTCTATCTATTCACTAGAATGGTTATAAGACTGACAATATCAAGTGTTGACAAGGAAGTGAAACTTCTCAAACAGTCATGGTGGGAATATAAAATGTAAAACATGCTTTTGATAACTTTTGTTATTTTCTCATAAATTTAAAGAAAACTGCCACATAACCCAGCAATTCCACTCCTACGCATTTACCCATAGGAAATAAAAACGAAGCTTCGCACAAAGCCATCTCATGAATAGATGCACATATTGTAGCATACAGTATTCCACTGTAAAGAACTCTACTCTACAATAAAATACAGCAAATCAGTGATATACACAACATGGATGAATTCCAAATCATTGATACTAAATAAAAGCAGTTACACTCAAGAAGAGTTACATTCTCATGAGTATTTTTATGACACACTAAAAAGGGGAAATTTATAATGAAAGAATATTAGCGATTGCCTGGTTTTGGGGTTGGGTGCTGACTGAAATGAGGCACAAGGCAGTGATTTAGCATACTAGAAGTGCCCTAACTCTTGATTGTAGTAGTGGTTACACAGTTTATTTATTGGGCAACGTTCAAACTGCCCACTTAAAAGGGGTGTTGTTTATTGTACGGAAATTATGGCTTCATGCAAAATTTGTGCATAAAGTTCTTTATGACAAGAAATTGGAAGAGAAAACCCACCTTCATATTGTTTTTAAAGTAACTCAATGTATATCTGTGTTAAATACTGCTGAGTTTATTACAAGTGAATTAGATTAACCTCATCAAGCTTGTTAATGTAAGAAACATTAAAAAATAACCATTGACTGCCTCCTTTACTTTTACTACATGCCAAGTAGCTAGCTAGCTATCCATTACAAGTAAATAATTAAAGTTTAATGAAACCACAGAACTAAGCATTTGGAAATCACATTCTTACATTTCAGTCCTTTTTTTCAGAGATCTAAATATTGAATTCTTTCTCTCTACAACTGGAATTTTTAAAAAGCAATATACTGTCACTCAACAGAATAAAATTCTCTTTTCCTAAACTTTTATTTATGTGACTTACCTTTCAGTTAAGCCAGTATTTGGCAAAGTTTATCAGTAAATCAGTATTTGGGAAAGTTTATCAATCCCATGCTACATGTATATAAAAATAATTACTCACTTCAATTGTCTTGGCCAGTAACGGTGTGTGAGGGAAATTGTGCTTGTACACCTCATTAGCAACAGTGTTGACATCAACGGCGGCCACCACTTGTGCAGGTATACCGCTTTCTGTAATGACAAACAAAACATTTTAAAAAGAAAAGTCCTTAGTATCAGTTTATTCACCACAGAGAAAAGCCAAAATAGTGTAACTTGGTAGTACATTTCCATATGTCCTCAATTATCTAGCCAGATCTCAGACTGTCAGTGGAGGACCAGCCACGGAAGAACCAGGCATGAAATAGAATACTTGAACAAGTACTTTTGACTCATCTCTCTAACAGCATTCCAATATTAGAAATGATTCAATTTTAATTGTTACCTCTTACATTTTCTTTCTTATCACATGAAGAGCTACACTCAGTTTAACAGAAAGCTTCCCTATGCTAAAAAAACAAATCAAAAATATAGGAAGTGTAGTATATCCTAATCACCATAATATTTGGAATTTTATACAAATGAGTTACCACATGCTCCTCTCCTTGTACTGAGGCAAAGCTGCTTCATAGCTGAAAATGCTTTTAGGTATGCTGCTTTAAGTAACAGCTTTATTGAGATCCAACTCACACATCACAAAATTCACCTGCTTAAAATTTAGATAATTTTTTTAAAAGGCGAAAGATTTATATGATTTGAACAGAAACCAGAGTATTAATTTTTTAAATGAGATAAACAATTAATTGGTCTTTAAATATAAAAGGTTCACAGGAAAAAAACTAAATTCTGACAAACCAGGAGAAAAATGAGAATAAGGGAAGTAATTATAAAGGGATACTTTTACTGCCCATCTGTCTTGCTGATAAAGCATTTTCAAAAGTTTCCAATTCAGATAACATATTCTTTAATGACAGTCAAAATTTGAACTCTGTAATTGCAGCTGCTACTATAGTTTGCAATTCCCATTCTCTTCAAAATATGTACAAAACTACGTACAGACGCTGTCCCAAATCAGGAGAAAGGGTTTTAAAAATAAAATTAGTTGAGACTTAACAAAGCCACCAGGGAAAATACAGTACTATGTAGTAGATCCACATAGCCTCCTTTTTAAGAACCAGTTGCTAGATAATGATTAGCTTAGTTTAGTGCAAACACTAACGGGGGGTGGTACAGTAGGAGGAGTTATGGCCCAAGCAGCAGAAAACCTGGAAATAAAATGGGATCACAGGAGACAGGGCAAGAGGGAAAAGGCACACTCACACATGCTCAGAAACAATCAGAATCTGACACTGAGGCCTGGAAGAGACGAAGGCAGAGAGAAAGCCCTAAGGATCCTGCCAAAAAGTAAGGTCCTTGTGTCTTAGACATGAGTCACTGGAAACTCTGAGACCTACCTGGTAATAACAGAGGTAGCTGCTTCCAGTTAAATTTAAATTCAGTAACTAGTTACTTGCCTCAGTACAAAGTTAAGAATATAAATTATACTTTTGTCAAAAGGATCAGAGAGACCTTGAAGCACAGATCAAAAAGCTTCTAAACAAACAACAAAAATAGTATCCAAATATTAATTTGCAAAATCACAAAATTGTTATAATTAAAAACTAAGCTACAACAAATCACTGCAAGAGAGCTGAGTTAAACTTCATTGTATTACTTTATTGCTTTACTAAGTAAGATATAATCAGGATGATTGCATTTCCACTAAATATGCAGCAAACAGGGACTGCTTGGAGCTGGTTAACATGACTTTCACCTTTTCCAGGCTGGATGAAAACCCAAAGTGATATGCTGAATCTATACCATAATCGATAATTAATTTTATGTTCTTGTATTTTGTGCCTGAAGGGAATAAAACCTGATTAAAAGCAAATGCCAAATGAGTATCTCATGTGGAGATTTGAAAACTGATAGACTGAACATTCTTTTTCTCAGGAAAGAATGGATTTTTAAAGTCAATAAGCAAATGCACAGTTTGTATGGATTTTAGAGTGTTCTAAAATTAGGACATATTGTGTGACCTAAAAAGCTATTTTCGCTTTTTGCTTTTGTTTTGTTTTTTTTTTCCGGTACCGGGAATCGAACTCATGACCTTGCGCTTGCCAGGCGGGACTGTGCCGCTGAGCTAAAAAGTTATTTTCATGGGTACATATACAGGTTGAGTATCCCTTATCCAAACTTCTTGGGACTGTGTTTTGCATTTCTTAAAATTTGCACATACATAATAAGACAGCTTGGGGAATGTGACCCAAAGCTAAACACAAAACACATCCATATTTCATGTACAACTTATACACATAGCCGAGTGTAATTTATACCATATTTTTGGTGCATCTGCATTTGGTTAGGTGTGGGATTTTCTACTTGTATCATGCTGGTGATCTAAAAGGTTTGGAGTTTGAAACATTTCAGAGTTTGGATTTTTGGACTAGGGATGCTGAGAAAGTACTGACACGGATTCAACTTGCCTTTCAAAACAGAATTACTTTGGAGTAAGAGTATATTTCTAGAGAAAAGTTATAAATAATAAGGGTAAAAAGCAAGCCTACCACTTTTGTCACATTTAAATCAAGGTCCAAAGACAAGATGTCTTGCTGTTTCGTGGTATGCAGTTCAAATCTACAGTCTCTGAAAATCTTCAGGGGGCATACACACATTCTGAAAATGTATTTTGACATGTCCAAGTGAACACAATCCTATACAGTTTTACCTGTGTGAGCTCTCTCACTTGAATAGTCTAGGGTTAGTAATTCTCGAAGGAGAGAGAAAATTGGGAAAAGGGACCCTCTAGGGTCCTTTGGTAGTAATGGGTGAGAACGTACTTTCAGTACTTCGATCTATTACTTCGCCTTGATTTTATTCATGATGTTTCTGTTATTATTCTGGATTTCGTATGCATCAATACGAAGTGTAGGTTTTTAAAAAGGTGTGACATCATAGAGTAATGCAATCTAAATTATTTTAAAAGCTGTCAGATTGGATCTGCAGGGAAAGGAAAAAGACATCATGCTTCCATTTGTGAGGAATGAATTTTAAAAGGCAAATTTACATTTAAATAAAAATAACTTCCCTTCTTTTTCTTATTACTCTTTCTGGGAAAGTGTAGGGAATAATGTCTTGTTGACAGCAGATGGTAGAGTACAAGCTCATACTCTACCTGACTTTCTTAGCCAAATAAACAAACAAACCCTTACTTGCCCATGCATAGCTATTCAAATGGGTGAAAAACATACTGCAATCCCAGCACTCCAGGAGACTGAGGCAGGAGGTCCAAAGTTCATATCTAGGGTGGACAACTTAGTGACTTAGTGACCCTGCCTCAAAATAAAAATAAAAAGGAATGCGGATATAGCTGAGCATGAAGGGCCTGGGTTCAATGCCCAGTACAGAAAATAAAAATGATACATGTAGAATTAAGCAGCTCACTTTGAAATAAGAAAAAGTAACTCTGTAAAACTGTTTCTTTCTCTCTCATTTACATATTTTCTGATCTATACCTTGTATAGGTTGAGTAAGTACTTGAACTACCTTATTATAATCACACCTAAGACATTTACTCAGGTATGTTAACACTGACATCTAGTTGTGAAATGGGAGATCAGTTGAATACATTTAATGTTTATTTGCTTTCACCCAGAGTAATAGCTCAATTTAGAATAAAAGTACTAAGCAAAGACCATAGGGTTCTGAATTTAAAATCATTGTCAAATGTTCTTTATTACTATTAGCAAAAGTATATTTCTTTGTTCCTAAAGGTTTTTTACATTTCAAAATTGCTAATAAGTTATTTTCATGAATAAAATAAAAAATAATTTAAATTTTTTTTCAAACATCCGTTTCTTTAGAAAATTTACTTTGGATTAATACATAGTTTAGATTACTATTACCAACATCTGGCTACATACAAGACACCATCAGCCAGAACGTACATAGGAAGAGCTTGAGATCTGTGAACTGACTATGCCCTTATCACAGCATCTTAGGAGAAGGCAAACACTATTTTTCAATACAATACAATAATTAGTTTAAATGTAAATAGTTATGTATGGCTAGTGGCTACCACATGGTGCAGCACACCTTTATTATCTTTGGGCTCACCACCAGAGAGAGAAAGTAGTCGGGACAGAAAGACACCAAATGAATGTTAAAGAAAAGAGGCACACTGAAAGAGTGTATACAGCATGGAAAATAAACACGGTATATCAGGTAGTATAGTGTAATTTAAAGGAGGCAACGAAGTTCAAGGAAGCTGGTGAAAAAGGACATTAGCACGTCTTTCTAGGAAGTGTCTAGCAAAGCCCATTTAAAATGGTGCTCATGTGGTAAGGTAGCTAGCACAGCCTCCTCCCATTCATTCTCCTCTTTCTTTCTCCCTCCCCTTAACTCTTACCCAGTCATGAGGCTTTCCTTGGAAGAACAGAGAGGGAAGGTAATTCAATCAGCTAGCTTTGGCAGGGGCCACAGAACACTACACAGTACTGCTATTTCCCTTAATCCTGAGGACGCAGAGAGCCTTATTTTCCAGGGGTATTCACTGGTCCCTTAAAAGATTTGTTTCTAAATATAAACAGCTGAAATTAGAGCTAAGTTTAAACTAAGCAGCTCTGTTTAGTAGGACTTTCTGTGATGAAGGGACTATCCGTATCTATGTTATCCAATGTGGTAGTTGCCACCCACATGTAGAAGCACTTAACATGTGACTAGTGCAACTGTGAAACCGAATTGAAGTAATACCACTATGGGATAAAATAATAATGGAACAATGGGCATAAAAAGGAAAAGTTTAAAATCACATAAAGACACATATAAAAGAAAAACATTAAGCAGTTCAAATTCCAAATCCTTAAAAATGATATTCCAAAAATATCTGTAGGTGACATTCAGATCTGCACAGAAAAACATTTCATGATAACATACTTGTCTAAATCACTTATAAACATAACTCATCACAAAGTGATTTAGTCTCAAATTGGCATATCCATCATTGATGAATAAAGACAAGAGAGAGTCAGAAAATGAACCAAAAAATGACAAATGAGAGGCTTAACAGTTTAATGGAAAATATTAAGGCTGAGTTCTTCTTAACAAATATGGTTAAGTATCAGGTAGGTAGCTAAAACTCAAAATCAAAACCA